CTTCTCCTCCTCCTCCCTATCCTACTCCTTCTCCTCCTCCTCCCTATCCTACTCCTTCTCCCCGTCCTGCTCCCCCTTCTTCTTCTTCTTCTTCTTCTTCTTCTTCTTCTTCTTCTTCTACTAATTCTTCTTCTTCCTCTTCTTCTTCTTCTCCTCCTCCTTGTTCTCCTCCTCCTTTCCTTCTCCTCCTTTCCTTCTCCTCCCGCTCGTTCCGTCCTCTTCATCCTCCTTCTCTTTCCCTCCTCCTCCTCCTCCCCCTTCCCTCCTCCTCCTGCTTCCCTCCTCCTCCTCCTCCTCCTCTCCTCCTCCTCCTCCTCCTCTCCTCCTGTCTCTTATACACATCTAGATGTGTATAAGAGACAGCCATTTCTCATTTCACTAAGTTTTTGGGTGCGCACAGACTTTTGAAATTCGCCGAGTTGACATACAGTATAATTATGTTGTTGGACAGGCGAGGAGCGACCAGTCTCTGTTTCGCCCTTTTGCTCTTCCGCTCTGGCTCGCTCTCGCTCGCTCTCGTTCGCTCTCGCTTTCTCTCTGTTCGTTTTTCTTCTGGGGACTCGGTGGGGAGAGCAACCTCTCTAGCGCACGAATGTCACACAACATATATATGCATGAAATTTGCATAAACATTGTAAAAAATAAATAAAAAAATCTAATGCCGCGTAGTGCGACACAATCCAGTGCATCATTGCAGCATAGTGTCACAGAATTTCGGTGCAGCAAAGTGTCACACAATCCAGTGCAGCATTGCAGCATAGTGTCACACAATTCAGTGCAGAATTGCAAGCATAGTGTCACACAATCTAGTGCAGCATTGCAAGCATAGTGTCACACAATTCAGTGCAGAATTGCAAGCATAGTGTCACACAATCTAGTGCAGCATTGCAAGCATAGTGTCACACAATCCAGTGCATTTTGGAGAATAGTCTCACGCAATTCAGTGCAGCATTGCAAGCGTGGTATCACAATCCAGTGCAGCATTGCAAGCACAGTGTCGCACAATCCAGTGCGGCATTGGAGCATGGTGTCACACAATTCAGTGCAGCATTGCAAGCATAGTGTCACACAATCCAGTGCAGCATTGCAAGCAGTGTCACACAATCCAGTGCGGCATTAGAGCCTAGTGTCGCACAATTTAGTTCAGCATTGCAAGCATAGTGTCACACAATCCTGAGCATTGCGAGCATAGTGTCACACAATTTAGTCCAGCATTTCAAGCAGAGCGTCACACAATCTAGTGCAGCATTGCAAGATTAGTGTCACACAATCCAGTGCAGCATTGCAAGCATAGCGTCACACAATCCAGTGCAGCATTGCAAGCATAGTGTCACACAATCCAGCGCAACACTGGAGCATAGTGTCACACAATTCAGTGCAGCATTGCAAGCATAGTGGCACACAATCCAGAGCGTTACAAGCATAGTGTCACACAATCCAGTGCATTTTGGAGGATAGTGTCACACAATTCAGTGCAGCGTTGCAAGCATAGTGTCACACTGTCACACAGTCACACAGTCACACAATCCTGCAAGCCTAGTGTCACACAATCCAGTGCAGCATTGCAGCATATTGTGACACAATTCTGTTATGTGCTCGGTTGATTCACAAATCAAAACCGCATTCAAATGTTCCCATGCACATCTGCAATGACAGGCAGACTGGAGAGAGAGCAGATTCACTCCATAGCCACGGAGAGATATTGCGCAGCGGAAGCCAAAACCAGTTATAAAAATTGAGAGGAAAATGTTTCAACCAATTATTTATTACAGAGCAACAAGCCGCTGTCCTACAACCCCCACAAACAGCAGTGGGATGGCAGTGGCATCAGCACCTGGAAGATCTACTACAGGCGCTGCCTCCTCAAGGAGCAGGGCGCCCCAGCTATGGCTTCCCAAGTTCCCCCTTGACTCGGAAGAGGAAGAAGACCAAGCGCTGGAAATAACGCAGCTCACGTAACTCCCGCCGCCACTTCTACAGAAAAATGGAAAAGAACCAAAATTCGGCGGCCTCTGCCTACTTCTACCCGACTTCCCTAGACCTATAACACAGCAGCCACCTACAGACCTATCTGATAGTCCAAACAGCAAACATCTACAGCCAACGAGTCAAGATCTACCTGCATGCATCTAGATGGACACCTAGACTAAGGGGACCCAGGGCTAGGCTAGGACACACAAAAGAAAGACATACGGGCCTACCAGTTTCCAGAAGAGCAGAAAAGGACAAAACAGCAAGGCTGAAAGGCCTAAGGCTGCCAAATAGGGACTACTAGCGACAGGTTCAAGGTTCAAGCCCAGTAGGACTCAGCGTTAGTAAACAACGCATACAAGCTATACGTCATGGGATAAAGTCCTGCGAGGCTCGACCCAAGGAAACAACAGGCAAGGTTAGTGTACAACCCATGTAAAAAACTGCAATTCATTGCAATACAGTGCAGCATTGCAAGCATCGTGTCAGACAATTCAGTGGAGGATTGCAAGCATAGTGTCCGACAATTCAGTGCAGAGCATTGCAGCATAGTGTCACACAATTCAGTGCAGTGTTGCAAACATCGTGTCACACAATCTAGTCCAGCATTCAATTGAGTGCATGAATATCACCCAAAAAGTCTCTGATGTGCAAGACTGCAAGTGCGCCACTGAATCTAGTCGTGCGTGCATGTCGCACAATCTCCTAGTGCGTGCATGTCGCACACTCTACTAGTACAAGGATGTCGCACAATCCAGTAGTGCAAGAATGTCGCACAGTCTACGAGTGCAAGAATGTCTCAGAGTCTACTTGCGGAAAAATGTTGCACAATCTACTAGTGCAAGAATGTCTCAGAGTCTACTCGCGGAAAAATGCCGCACAATGTACTTTGTGCATGCCACACATGTGCAACGCAACACTTGTGTATGAATGTCACATGCAAAAAACTACGAGTAGTGCACGACTGTAACAGTTCTAGTGCGCCGAATGATGTAACTCAATCTACTGCATGAATGTCGCACACACACACATACGTACACACATACGTACACACATACGTACACACATACGTACACACATACGTACACACATACGTACACACATACACACAGACTTACAACATACGTGTATGCATGCATGAATTCATGCATTTGTGCATGCATACGTCCATACGTACGTACATGCATGAATGCACACAATTCATGCATGCATTCAATGTCTACTGCATGAATGTTACACACACACGTACGAACATGCATACATGCAAACATACAACATACACGTATGCATGCATGAATTCATGTGTTTGTGCATGCATACGTGCATACGTACGTACATGCATGCCTGCATGCATGATTGCACACAACGCATGCATGCATTCAATGCATGAATTCATGAATGCACGCAATGCATCCATGAATGGACTAACATGCATGTGCGTACGCATGCCCATACATGCATGCATGGATGCATACAATGCGTGCGTACAATGCATGCATGAATGCATGTAATGCGTATTTACAATGCATGCGTGAATGTAGGACGCGAATTGGCATGCAAGCGATCTGGTAGTGCATTAATTCACAATCTAAAAACGCCGCAGAAAATGCAGTGTTGAAAAAAGGAAAAGTCACAGAACGTGCGTATTAAATAAAGGGGAAAAGAGAGGTGGTCTCGACATGCAGAAGATCATGATGCTGAACGTCGGACGATCCAGTGCAGGTAGGAAAATAAGATAAGTGAAAATAAAATGATGAAATGAAAAACAATCGGGTTGCCATTTCATTTCATTTCGTTTTTATAAAATTTCAGTTTCTTTTTCAACTTTTTCATTTATTTTTCAATGCTACTTTTTCATTTCATTTCATTTTATCTTTTATTTTTTGTTCACCCCTCCGCCTAAACCCAAGCTTCAATCACCCCCGCCCCTCCCCCCGGCAACCCACCTACCCAAAAAAAAGAACCCCTTCAACCCGACTCTACGCACGTGTCTTCTCTATCCGACCAAAAAACCCAAACTTCAACCCAACCCAACCCGATCCAACGCAACCCAATCACCCCCCTCTACCCACATTTTCGTCCCTCACAACCCACCCACCGCTACATGCACAATCATGTGTGTTCTCTCCCCCACCTAAACCCCAAACTACTCTTGCAAGTTTGTGCCCCCACCTTCTCGCGCCACCTTCTTTACCCTCGCAATTCCCCCCCCCCCCCCCCTACCCCCCTCACACCCCCCACCCTAAAAAGAAAAAAAACAGAAAGAACCCCCCCTAAACCTGTTGATGCCCCACCGAAACCTTGAGCTGGACAACAACCTCAACTGAAACGAAGGCCAAGTAGCCAACCAAAATAAACCCCAATTGAAACCCAACCGCACACTTAGTGCTGGCAACACTCACCCAGTCGCCCATTGCCCAATCATTCAAGCAGTCAATCAATCAATCAATCAATCAATCACTCAATCAATCAATCAATCAATCACTCAATCAATCAATCAATCAATCACTCAATCAATCACTCACTCACTCACTCAATCAATCAATCAATCAAGAAATCAATCAATCAATCAAGAAATCAATCAATCTTGGGACTCTTGTGACTCATGTTTAACAATGGTGTGTGCCTTATCGGGATGGGGGTTGATGTAGGAGGAAGCAGCAGGCCAGCGAAGTCGGAGGAGATGACATGGATGTGGTAAGTTATGGCTATGGCTATGGCTATGACTGTGGTGATGGCTATGTTTCTAACGCTTGGCTGTGGCTATGACTGTGGGTACGGCTTTGGCTATGGCAATGTTTCTAGCGCTTGGCCATGGCTATGACTTTGGCTATGGCCTTGGCTATGGGTATATCGCTAAGGCTTCTCCTTATTTGAAACCTAGATTCTGTCGCTATGACGATATATGTGCCATCAGATGTCTTGTTTCTTTTTTTTTTTTTTTTTCTGGTTTGTTTTCCTGTTTCTCTCACCTCCCTCTGTCCGAGACTCTAGCCTTTTGACAGTGAGGGCATACTCACACTGGGACTTTTTTAACTTATCTCTGGACGTGATTGCGGTCAGGTGCATCCAGCTCCGGCCTCAAAAGCGGGTCATATTCATCCAGGAAAGTCCTCGTCTGCGTAATATGCTCTGAGTACGCACTTCAAGTTGTGACACATAAAAGCCGGCCCTCTGCAATGCACTTGGAACCCATGGAAACAAAAGTAGAGTAGAAACGTTTCTACTCGGATGAATTTGGGCGCTCCTGTAGTGACCGCTACATCTCCTAAAAATCGTGGCTTGTTAACGGGCACAACCTTACGAAGCACTGGTGGTTTAATGCTCACCTCTGATATACTTTGCATGCACCGACCAGATGCAAGGGACTCAATTAGAGAAAATGATTTTGTCTGTTCACGTGGTTGCTTCTGGATTTAAATTTTGAACGGTCAAGATCGCTGCCTCGCCGGCCGCCACTTCTTCTCTATTTCAATTGCACCACCACTACCGTTCACAAGCAAACTCTTAAACCCGGTGTAAGTTCCGTATAACCCATAACCCATAACCCATAACCCATAACCCATAACCCATACCGCATTCGTTGGAGGCGGGGCAGGGCGCCACGGACCAAAATGGCTGGCGGCGATAACCCACAAAGTGTCACTACTTCTTTGCGGCTCCTGAGAGAGTTGTACCCAGGCCGGAATGTGATCAACGGACAAATGCAATCAAATTCCGCCGTGTTTGTGAAAGAAGGAGATCGCACATGAAATGTCACTACTACTTTGTGGCTCCTGAGAGAGAGGAGAGTCGATGGACAGATAGATAGTGGACACGGATCGGGATGGGTGGTACAAGGAGGGGGAGGAAATGGGCCAGCCAAAACGTCAAAAGAAGTGAAAAAAAAAGGTCGCGCTGGTGAGTCTTTTTAGTGTATAGTGTTGTGTTGTTTTGCCTATGATGACTGACAATTGGCCGCACTGTTTTCGTTGTTGTCCTGTTCTCTACTTGGGCGCAAATAGGTGCGGAATTATTTCAACAGCACTGGGTTTGACAGGTGGAGAAAAATCTACGGGGAGACCGATGACGTCAACAAAGTCCAGGTACACTGTTCTGGATGGATTTCGAAATTTTCGATCCAATTTTTTTTTTTTTTTTGGGTAGCAGACCTGTGTTGACGTCAGCTCCCATCTATACTGATGACGTCAACAAAGTCCATCTATCAAGGTCTGTGTTCACCACTCTTTTTCTTTGCCCCCTCTCTTTCTCTCTGTGTTCCTCTTCCTCTCTCTCTCTCTCTTCCCCTCTCCCTCCCCTGCCCTCCCCCTCCAAGTCCCTGTCTGTTTGTCTGTCTGTCCGTAGCTCCGTCAGTCAGTCAGCCGGTCTCTTTCTGTCTGCCTCTCTCTGCGCCTCTCTCTGTGCGTCTCGCTGTGTCTCACTTTCTGTCTTCTCTGCCTGTCTCTGTCTCTGTCTCTCTCTCTCTCTCTCTCTCTCTCTCTCTCTCTGTCTCTCTCTCT